TTGAAATAGAACAGTGTAGCATAAAACATTTATTCCAATGGTGTAGTATATGTTGTGCTAACATAACACTGAACTATTTTATATTACATCTTTGACCCCTTTTTTTGGGCAAATTACAAATAAACCCCTTGAGGTTTGCTTAAAATAGAGATTACACCCTGTAGTTCTAGAAATTACATCCCACCCCTTCAAGTTTCTAATCACATAACAAATAACCCTTTTTATTAATAAATCATCAAATCAATTAACAGTTTTTAATGATATCATAAATATATTTTAATTAACAATTCATGTAATTTTATTGTTGTATAGAGGATACTGGTTTTAAGCTATAGTATAGTGGCAATGGTAAACACACGAATGGGGTAGGAATAATAGTTGCCAAGAGTCTTGTAGAAAATGTAGTTGCGGTTTTTGATTGGATTATATTAGTTAAACTAATTATTGGAGAGAATATAGTGAACGATATTAGTGCATACACCTCCCAAGTAGGATTAGATGATCAGACTAAGAGAGATTTTTTTGGACCAAATAGATGAGGTATTACAGGAGATACTCATAGGAGAGAACCTTGTCATAGGTGGAGATTTCAATGGCCGTGTAGGAATAGATAAACTAGGTTATGAGAAGGTGCATGGTGGGTATGGTTTTGGTGATAGAAATGAGGCTGAAGAGAGTATTTTAGATTTTGCGTTAGCTTCTGACCTGGTGGTGGCTAATACTATGCGTAAGAAGAGAGAAGAGCATTTGTTAATCTTTAAGAGTGGGTCAATTAGAAGCCAAATATATTACTTTCTAGTAAGAAGAGTGGACCGTCTAAAATGCAGCAACTGTAAGGTGAGTCCTGGAGAAAGCCTGACGTCTCAACATAGAATTTTGATACTAGATTTATGCTTTAAAGGGCAATACCAAGCTAGGAAACATAGTGGGTGTCGCAAGACAACATGGTGGGACCTAAAAGGGGATAAACTATAAATATTTAATAATAGAATGGATAAAAAAGGTACTTGGGACTTGGAAAATGATGCTAACTCTATGTGAAACTCAATGGCCAATTGTATAAGGAGAATTTCAAGAGAAGTTCTTGGAGAGTCGAAAGAAAAGGGATCCAATCTTAGGGAACTTGGTGGTAGAGGGAGGAGGTTCCAGCGGTAATAAAGATGAAAAAAGAGTGCTTTAAAAAGTGGCAGAATGATAGAACTGAGGAAAACTTTAAGAGCTATAGATTGGCTAATAAGGAGATCAAAAAAATAGTTAGGGAGACTAAGTTGAAAGCTTATGATGACCTATATGTTAAAATAGATAGTAAGGAGGAAGAGAAGAAGATATACAAAACAAACTGGTTAAGATAAGAGAGAAGAAAACAAGAGATTTTAATCAGGTTAAGTGTATCAAGAGTGAGGACTCTAAGATGTTGGTGAAGGATGAATAGATTAAGGAGAGAAGTAAGAACTGTTTTGAGAAGTTGTTAAATGGGGAACATGGAGGTAGGGCAAGAGGGGATGAAGTAGGCAGTAATGAGAAAAACCAGGACTATAGGTTCAATCATCGCATTAGGAACTTTGAAGTGGAGATTGCACTTAAGAAGATGAAATCCAATAAGGCTTTAGGACCAGATAATATCCCTATTGAAGCCTGGAAATGTTTGGATAAGAAGGGAGTTGTTTGGTTAACTAGGTTATTTAGCAAGATTTTGTTGACTAAGAAAATGCCAAAGGAGTGGAGGAAGAGTATATTAGTGCCAATATATAAGAATAAAAGAAATGTCTAAAATTGCAACAACTATAGAGAAATCAAGCTAATGTGTCATACACTTGATCAGTGTCATTTCTAACAAGAACTCTGGAAATGCTGTTGAACGATCATTATATAGAAAGGAAGTTCGTTTGTGCTTATGTGATTAGGTACTTATATAGAATGAATTATTCGTTATCCACCATATTAGGGCGTGAATAAGTTAGTTTCGACACATCTATAAATGTGCTAATCTATTGTGCTACCTTTATTAGAATGTCAAGACGTGGACACGGACGTGGTGGTTGTAGGCATGGCAGGCCTTGGCGGCAGGAAGTGCCATTACTGGATGATATTCTGGTGCAAGAGGAGGGAGTTGGTCAGGCCAACGTGGCCGAACCAGCAATGTCGATTGCATGATATAACAAAGGTATCGAAAAATCAATTTGGGTTTCTGCCTGAGAGGTCAACAATGGAAGCGATCTATCTTTTGAGAAGAGTAATAGAAAAGTATAGAGAAAATAAAAGAGACATTCTTATGGTTTTTATCGATCTTGAAAAGCATATAACAGAGTGCCTTGAGATATAATCTGATAGGTGTTAGAGAAGAAAAGGGTGACAAAATGTTACATTGATGTGATTAAGGATATATATGAAGGTGTGGTAACCACTATTAGATCACCTGCTGGAAAGACGAGTGAATTTTCAATTACTGTAGGGTTACACCAAGGATTAGCCTTAAGTCTTTATCTTTTTGCTTCAGTTATAAATGAGTTGACGCGAAATATTCATAATGATGTGCCATGGTGTACGCTTTTTGCAAATGATATCATGTTAATGGATTTGACTAAAGAATGAGTTAACACTAAGATGGAGACTTAGAGAAAAGCACTTGAATGTAAAGGATTTAGGATAAGTAGAACTAAGACAGAATACATGGAGTGTAATTTTAGTAAAAGTAACAATGGAAGCAAAGGAGAAGTGAAGATTGAGAGCCAAGAACTACTTAAGAGTAAACATTTTCGTTATTTAAGATCGATTATTACAACAACTGGAGAGATTGGAGTAGATGTGGTCTATAAAATTAAGGCGGGGTGGCTTAAGTAGACAAGTGTGTCTAAAGTACTGTACGATAAACGAGTACGCATTAGACTAAAAGTGAAGTTCTATAGAACGGCTATTAAACCAGCGATGTTGTATGAGACAGAATGTTAGGCAACTAAGAAATAATATGTAGATAAGATAAGTGTTTCTGAGATGAAGATGCTAAAGTGGATGTGTAGCAAGACTAGAAAAGACAGAGTTAGGAATGAATATATTTGAGAATACATAGGACTAGTATCGATAAAATATAAGTTGAGAGAGAATAGATTGAGATGGTATGGTCATATACAACAGAAACTAATAGAGACAGTAGCGAAGAGATACAATACAATGATAGTAGAAGGTAGTGTTAGAATAAGGGACGGACCTAGATTGATATGGACTAGTATAGTAAATAGATATATGAATCTCCTTAATTTGACTAACAAAATGGCGAATGACTAGTGCAGTGAATACAGATAGAACTGTTGCTTGGACGTTAGAATTGAGCAGCTTACCAATACTTTCACAAAATCTTACACTTGGCTTATACAATCAATTCATACCAAAAACTCAACTTAAAATAGCAATTGAATCACGAAATCACTAGGTTAAAATAGCAACTGAGATGATTCATCATTTTACACAGCCAACGCAATCAATCAAAACATTGTGCAAAAGTGAGAACCAACAACGAATTTCAAACTCAAAAACAATAAATAAATAAACAGTTTCGAGACTTAATTTTTATATTCATACCAAAAACATGAATCGTGGAGTTGAGTTATTGAAGCTACCTAGTGTGATTTTGGGGATAGGTTCGTTGCCGGCCGAAGAAGCTCTCTCTTCGGCCTCCATCATGAGTTGCTGAACCTGAGACATCCGCGACGGCGCCGCCTTCTTCCCGCGGTCGCCGGAGTCCGACGCGGCGCACCGGACGGAGCAGTGGCTGATCCTCCTCCACCGGCATGTTAGGCGGATGGGCAAACTGAAGCTGGTCAGGGATGTACGGAACATGCATACAGATAACGAAGACATTGACGGAGGACTGAAGATTTCTCTGGCCATCGTCGTTCTCATTGCCGCCATTGGTGTTTCGACCAAACGCTTACACTACGTTTGGTTTGGTTTGGTTCGAGTGGCCTGGGGAGAAAAGAAATGAAATAGAGAGAAATCACTTATTTGAATTATTAAATAGAAGAGAAAATTGAGAGAAATATTTCTCTCATAATTTTTTTTTTAATCTCTTCAAAAGTTTAGACAAATTATATTATTTAGTTTTGGAGGAATATTTCTCCCTTCATAATTTGGAATTGAGAGTGCTGTTTAGATATGTAGAGCTTCAAGTTTCGTTTTGATAATTCAAAATGTTTTATTTATTAAACATTTTACGTATTTTATAGATATAATATTTAAGTCAATTCGATAATCATAATGCTTAATTTACTGTGTTTGTTACTAATAAAAATAACACGTTTTGAAAAATAAAACGTTTTGAATTATCAAAACGAAATCCGTATCACACTACTTTATTTTGTTTGAATATAAAAAAGAAATAAAATAGGTTATATGTGGATTTTTTTTTTTCCTTCTTTTTATTGTAAATTTAAATTTTCAATACTCTGTATTTAGATGATAATTTATGTAGTTCCAAAGTTTTGTATACATCAAATTTCTTTTCCCATCAAATCTCACCAATTGCATAAGTTTTTCCAAAAAAATAAAACATGATTTCTACTAGTTTTTATTTCTCTTCAATCACAAAGTTCTTTTTATTTGATTTTTTTAATTTCACACACCAAACCCTTCAATCCAAATGAATTGTAACTGTGAATTTTGCCTTGAAAACACAATGGCCTGTTTAGTTGTGTTTTCTTTTTCTTTTTTTCATAAATAAAATTAATTTAAATTTTTTAAATAACCATATCATTTTTAAAATTCATAGGGGCAGTGGGGTTTATGTTTTGGTTCAGATTTGATGGTTCAACATCATAGTTCCACGTCTTCAACTCTACTTTTATTTCCAGCCACAATAATGTGATTTGAACCTTTCTTTTCCCCTCCAAGAAGTCAACTAGTGGAGGATATGAAACTAACATCAGTTGGCTTTGTCTCATTTCACACCTGCAATTTCTGAGTTTTGGCGGACTCCAAATAAATAAATCAGCAGCAGTCATTGGGGATTATAATTCTTTCAAGAATCTTCCAATCAAATATAGCCACATGGCTGAAATATAAGCAACTTTAAAATGTTTCAGTCAGACATTAACCCACGCCGACATTTAAGATATCAAAACACACCCATTTGAGAACTGATATTGCTAATGACATGCAACCATGGCCTTCTCAAAACAAAGCAAGCCTACTACTGTATGAGACACATAACAGTGTCCTAAACAACATAATAACAGGACATAATAGAAACATGAGTCCTTGAAAACTAGAGATTGTGCGCCAAAAACATGAGGGGGAGGTGAACTACTCAACGCTTCCTAGCACGATCCATGTTAACAGCCTTTGATGATCTCGGTTTCCCACCAGACGAGGAACCTGCTCTATCTCCAACATCAGCTTTTGTCCTCCCTGAATGCTGTGAACGTGAAAGCCCTGCTCTCCCACCAATATCTGGTCTCACGCTCCCCGAATGCTGAGGCTGCTCAGTCGAAGGGAGAGCCCAACCACCCCTGCCTGCTGGCCCGTCTTGTCCATTTGTCACCAACCCTAAAAATAAATTACATAAGAGTTAACAATTTTAAGTAACAAGAGTAGACACATGAAATTGCATAACTCGGAATCTAACCAAGAAGAGTTTAGCAGCTACAATGGTCAACAGCAAATAAAAAGTAGCAATTCATTCACATCAATGTTCAAAATCTTTGCAAAGAACACCAGGAGACAACTAAATTTCAATTGATAGGAAACGTGACTATCCAAATTCCAGTGGATAGGAAACATCAAAGGCAAAAAGGGCAGTAGCTTGTGTGCACAAAAGACCTCCATACTAAAGACTCAAGTAGCATAGACACCATGTCCATAGGATACCAACACTTCATGCGAACTATTGAACACACGCATGAGCATGTGATGCCAACAGGCAATTAGGTAATTTCTATCTTGCACTGATAGGCCATAGCACTGCAATGTAAAATTTCTGTGTCAATTGCATCTAGCTAAATGCGTAATTGCTATCCTCATCTTAGGAAAAGAAATCAAATGGAATCATGTAACAACCAGAAAAGGGCTACATATGGTGCCATGGCAATAATAAATATTATGAAATACAATCTCTCTATAAGAGTTGGAGCATATATAATATAACCCAAAATGTATTTGGTAGCCTATAAATAATTTAATTTTCACAGAAAACCAGAGGCGAAGACAGAGAATGTGAAATAAACCACATCACCAGGATACATGTGATCCTAGAGATTGATAATCGCTTGAATACACATAGGAGGAGTCAATGCAGAAAAGAAATTCTTAGACATACCATCATGTACATTGAATCCCTCACTCCAGCCTGGTAGATGCTTTCTAGCATTTCCCTTCCAAGCTTCTTCAAAACCAGATAGCTCCTCTGACATTCAAAAATAAAATAAAACATCTAAACATTAGACAACAAAACAACCACTGTCTGCAACTTCTAAAAACACAGTTGATCACAAGATGCTGGTAAATACCTTCATTAAGGTTGTGCAAGGTCTGCATTGTGCCCACCCTACCATCAGAACTCAATTTCCTAGCAACTGTATGGCCCTACAGCATATCAGAACCATTTTATTTTCACATTCTAGAGATGAGACAGTATTGTCATTCCACAAATAAACTCAACCCAGGGCATAACATGATTAGTGAAAATTGATGACATAGCATTTATCAAATACCTTATCATGGATACCCCCAAAGACCTGATGAGTTGCTTACCTTATCATGGAGACCCCTAAAGACCTGATGAGTTGCTTGACGACTAGCTGTATCAGCTTCTTTACTTTCTTCAAATGTCAACTAAAAATCCATGCAACCATGACATAAGAAACCCAGCAAACCCACATTGCTTTTACTTGGAAAGGCTAAAAATACTTACTCCGTCACTCCCTGTCCTCCTAGTTCTAGATGAGGTGTAATATGCTCCATTTGCACCACCATACGTAACACTGGAGCTCTGAAATGAGAAGCTACGAGTTTGGGGCTGTGACTGTGTATTGTTCACCCTGCTGAAATTCATGTGCTGCATTTGCTTACTCTTTCTCCCTGCAAGAACATTACATTAATCACCTTACACTGGAGACAATGAAATTAACAAGCACAAAAAGAAATCAAACCATTACATTAATTAAAATATAGGAAAGCAAATACCTTCAGCTTCATCATCTGGGTCCTCGACATAAGGTTCTTTGCTCAATCTGCCATGCTTTCTGGGATTACCTTTCTTCTTCTCCTCATCTTGTTCTTTTTCCTCATCAGAGTTCAATTCTTCAATAATTGGCCCCCTAGATCTATTGGGCTGGGGGACTTGATGTGGTACTTGATGTTCAACAAATCCAGATGCATGTGCACCTGTAAAAGGATTCCCAGTGGGGCCAAAAATGCTAGACTCAAACATGCCACCAATTGGGCGTGTGAAGAAAGGATCATCAAAAGGGTTCCTTCCTCCAAAGAAGCCAGACAACATATTCCTATGATCTGCAACACCGCCAAACCCCCCAAAGCCAGCAAAGGGGTCACCAAAATTAAAAAAAGGATCCCTGCCTCCTCTGTTCCCCTGCATTTTCCAGGTGCTGTAGTACCTGAAAAGCAGCAACAACAGTACATGAAGAAATGAAGTCCCTAATTAGTGCAAATCCATATATTCAATCCAAACCACAAGTTAAGTGGAAAGCCAATCCACCAAAACATCACTAATGACAACCTCACTTAAAAAAAAATTACAAATCTATACTATAAACACTCAAGGTTGTTAAAATCGGGATCCTAAGTAGGATCGGTGCGAGGGTCTGGTGGATCGGATCGTAAGATCGGTGCGAGGGTCTGGTGGATCAGATCGTAGGATCGGATCGAGGATCGTAAGATCGGATCGAGGATGGTAAGATCCTACTTTCTATTAAAAAAAAAGATAAAAATTAAAATGACATATATTAAAAATAAGGTGAAAAATCATAAAATTTATGATCCTACTTGCTCATAAAATTTACGATCCTACTTGCAATCCTACCTACGATCTTACTTGCGATCCTACCTACGATCCTATACGATCCCATACGATCCTACACGATCCCATGCGTTCCTACACGATCCTACTTGCGATCCTATTGTAACATCGATCCTACAACGATCTGGATTGTTTTGGCAAAGTAGGATCGTAGAATCGTACGATCCAACGATCCGGATCGCGATTTTAACAACCATGTAAACACTATAAGGCAGCACCCCCACCTGGTGGTGAAGCATGTTTTTGAAGCCCTGTCACATTTTGTATTCCCAAAAAAATCCAAAACAATATATTAATTCATTGTCTGATTTTTTTTTTTTTTCTTTTTCAAACCACTTAAGATAAATATGTAACTTGATTGATAGATGGAATTACATCACTAACCATCAAGTCTCTCCCTTTTTTATCTCTCCACTTCCAGTCTCACTATGTAGTCAACTCATTATCCCTCTTCTCACACTCTCATACAGTAATGTAATGTGCGGTTACGATTATTTTTTAATTATAGTACATAAAAACCCAGAATTAAAACCCATAAATGTAAAATCCAAAAATAGATAAAATCATGCTCACAGTGCAAAAGATTCTCCTATTACGGCTAAAAGTCAAGGGGAACAAATAAATTTGAATTATAAAAGGACAAGGGGCATCACTTATAATGAATAGCAAAACCCTCTGAATTTTGTGTGTTACGAAATCAACTTCTTCTGAGCACAACAGCTACAATCCTAAGCATAAATATTGAATTAATATTACCTCAACACTACCAAAGGGAAAAGGGATAACTACAAAGGGAACAGGGGAAAGGAAGTGTAATTGCACTATATTCTCGTGTTTGGGAATGCAAGGGGAGCCTGGGAGAGGAAGGGAAGGGAAGGGAAGGGATGTATGGGTTTTATTATGTTAATATAAATTAACAAAACATAAAATTACTTCTCAACAAAATGGGGCCAAACAAATAATCACCAACTCCTTCTCTTCATTTCATCCCAGTTGGTGAGCGGAGCAAAAAATATATATCTGAAAGGGTTCCAGAACCGCTACAAACCTATTCAGACATTTAGGAATCCAAACAGGGGGCGCACAAAACTCGAACCTGTCAAAGTCCCCAACCCCATCACCTACATCTTAGTCTTCAATACAACACTTACAACCTTAATTAAGGGCTGCCCAATTATTCTTACAATACCTATTATAAAAACACAGAAACCAACCACTTTGTAAATTGAATCAATTCCAACACTTTTCAATCCATAAAACCCATAATATTTGTTTCATCCTATTGAATCCTAAATTTCCAACCTTCCTTGACCTAAATCCAGCACAAAACCAATTATAGGGGGCATTATTACAAGCTTCTAATACTATACTAGATAAATAACACAATAGATGGTGTTCCCAATGTCTGTTTCTTGTTCAGTTGTGTGTTACCTAAATAAGACCTAACCTTAAAACTTCGCTGCGGTAGATTTTCCCCCTTCGGAATAACTTGATAAGTATATATTAGCACACTAATCATGAAAAATGAGAGAAACCATTGAAACACCAATAAATGAATTTAAAAAAAAATAAAAATAAAAATAAAAAAATCCTAAATTCCTGAATCATAGATCGCACAACAACCATTTTACCCACTGATCACCGTTAAGAAACTAACTTGTCAATCAAATTAAGTATCTAAACAGGTTTCCATTCAAGGAATGGTTCCTCCCAATGAAATCGACGAAACCCTAAATCGAACACGAATACAAAAACTTGTAGATTAGACATGGGCATGATCGAACAATCAATATCTCATCAAACCATTCCAAAAATTAAGTTCGATATCATGAAACTTGAAGCGATCATCGAATCAAACGGATTTACTTACCTTGAGCGAAGGAGATATGGAAGTTCTAAGAAGAAGGGAATCCAGGGAAAAAGAAAATCCCAATTCGATTTCGATTTAGGGACTTTCTTGATGATAAAGGGTTGGGAAAAAATCCCAATTCGATTTCGATTTAGGGACTTTCTTGATGATAAAGGGTTGGGAAAATACACCGACTCTACGTTTTTAGAGAGAGAGAGAGGAGAGAAGGGAGATATCATTCGGAACGCTCTAGTCCACGGTAGATATGTCCTGGTATTTGTGACTGACCCACACGTGTCATTCAACTTAATTTATAAATAACTTTTTTTATATATAATTTATTTAATTTCCAGTTAACCATAAAAAAAAAAAAATGCAAATTTACCTAGAAACTTCATCCCATAAAATTATGTCCCAAAAGTCTCATGAATTTTTTTTAAATAATTAATTTCACAGTAAGATCTTTTCACTATATTTCTTGGAGATTCTTAGATAACATTACGTTTAGTTTTCAAATGTCAATATGCTTAAATTTGGAGAATTTTAATGTAAAATTATTCATAGCATTCTAATGCATATTATTCATAGCATTCTAATGCATGAACTACTATTTTATTAAATTTTTGCTAAATATATCATTCTTGAAATGTAACAATGGACATCATTGTTATGTATGTATTATTGTTTTATTAAACTTTTATTAAATATATTATTTAAGAAATTTTAATGGAAGATTGTCTACGTCTTTTTAATGTGTACAATTATTTTATGAATTTTTTGTAAAATATATTATTCTTAAAATATGATTGACACGGGTAAGTCCATAAAGAATGTAGCTCACCACTTAAGGCTTAATACATAATTCAAATACTAAAACCCAATGTTGCTGGGGCTCAACGTAGCATTAAGAACCAATGACATCTAAACATGTGGCAAGAGAAAGACAAGCCACATAAGCAGATAAAGATCCTGCAAAATTATTGCACTGCACATCAGCCATTAATGGAACTCCTCCCAGCATTTATTGCGATAACCCCTCCCGTTGGACCAGAACGGCTTCACCATGAACAATGTAAGCTAGAGCATAGACTTTCGACCAAGGTGACAGGTCGGAAGGAACAACGAAATGATTAGCAGAGGATATAAGCAGGCATCGAAAACAGAAAAAATGTTAAGCTTTCTATCACTAATCTATCTCTACATACCATCTCTCTTTCTAACTTACTCGTCAGAGGGTTCGCTGGGGGACTTCCCGTTCCCCGTTGAACTCTTGTACAGGTCTCTCTGCGGGCTTGGTACCTCGGGCACTGATTTGGGAAGCGTGGATCAATCCGACCCGTTGCATCTGGAACGGATCGTCATCCCCCAACGCATCTAGTCTCACGGTGGGCACATCCTCTCAAGCCATCTCTCTGGTATGCCTGTGTATAGCTTCTGACGCTGGTACAAGGTAGTTCACAAAATATTGCAAAGGTGTATCACTCGACACAAAAGACTTTACTTTTGGAACATTTTGATTTTTTGCAAAAAGATAGGTAAAGCAGATAACACCAAAAGCCCAAGGTTTGCCTGTGTTCCAAGGGTCACAATTAAATTTCGCCAGTTTAAAATTTTTCAAAAATTCGCCAAAACCGTCTTTTCAACACCCTATGTTAACCTACCCTTTCGTTTCTTGCCCAATGCCTAACCTCCCCCATTACGGGATTCCGCCACATATACAACCACGATCCATTACCCATTTCCCTTTCCTGTCTATTCCACTTCACTTCACCACATGCCCCGCCGTCCCTCGAGCCCCGCGCACCGTCACTCACCCTTCGCGGTCGGCCCTCCTCACGGTCGGTCCTCCCCTCGGTCACTCTTTGCGGTCGGCCCTCCTTACGGTCAGTCCTTCCCCTCGGTCACCCCTTACGGTCGGTCTTCCTCACGGTCGGTCCCTCCCATCGGTCACCCTTCGAGGTCGACCCTCCTCACGGTCGGTCCATCCACTCGGTCACCCCCCGCTGTCGGGTCACTTTCCGGTCGGTCTTCGCCCCGTCAATCTCTCACAACTGCTGTTTTCTTCTTTATTCCCTTCGTTAGACTAAAACTGCACTTGGGAATGAGGGACTACTGACACGGGTAAGCCCATAAAGGATGTAACCCACCACTTAGGACCCAATATATAATTCAAATACTAAAGCCCAATGTTGCTGGGGCTCAACGTGGCATTAAGAACCAATGACATCTAAACATGTGGCAAGAGAAGGACAAGTAACATAAGCAGACAAAAATCCTACAAAGTTATTGCACTGCACATCAGTAATTAATGAAGCTCCTCACAGCATTTATTGCGATAACCCCTCCCCGTTGGGGCCAGAACAGCTTCACCATGAACAATATAAGCTAGAGCATAGACTTTCGGCCAAGATGACAGGTCGGAAGGGACAACGAAATGATTAGCAGAAGATATAAGCAGGCATCGAAAACAAGGAAAAGGTTAAGCTTTCTATCACTAATCTATCTCTACATACCATCTCTCTTTCTAACTTGCTCGTCGGAGGGTTCACTGGGGGACTCCCCATTCTCCGTTAAACTTTTGTGCAGGTCTCTCTGCGGGCTTGGTACCTCGGACACCGGTTTGGGAAACGTGAATCAATCCGACCCGTTCCATCTGAAACGCACAGTATCATCAATGATAACAGAACCTAATATGACAATTATGATTTTTCAATTTAAAATATCATATTCACATACGCATTTTTCATTTTAAATTGTGAGCATTTTTTATTTGAAAGATTTTAATGTGAGATAAGACCTTTTGAATTACAATCATATCTATGGTATTAAGAGAGGGTAGAGAAGATGAGATTATAGACATCCTCTCTTGGTTTCAAACAATAAGTCTAGTAATATAAAACAAACAAACAGTGGATAGCCAAATTTGAATTAACACCATCCATTCAAATTCCAAACATTTTTTCTAGAATTTTTTTTTTTTAAGATTCACAACATTTCTTCTAAATCAATAAACACAACCATATTCTCTCACGTACATTTTTTGTAAGTTGTAGTTCGCTGATCATTTTCCTGAGAAACATAGTAACTATGCTTTCAGATCTTTTAGATGGCAACCAATGGATATGGTGATGCTAAGATAGCAACAAGAAAGATGAGCTCGCTTGAGCGGTCCTCACTGTCTCAGTTCTGATACTAAACCATATTCTGGTACCTACGGAAATTTACCATGCCAAGAAAAGGAAGAACAATGATGGCTCTAATGCCACCAGGACCCCATGGCTTAATGATTACTCGGATACCTCCCATTTCTCAGCACAAACCTGCATCAATTGTTCTCTAAATTGGCTCAGCAATACAGCCCAATCCACAAGCTCTGGCTCGGAAATAAAATATGTTTCATGGTAACCTCACCATCCCTTGCAAAAGTGGTGCCAGTTGTCCTTTCACAGGACTGGATACAGAAAATGAAGACTCAAGCATTGGTTCCTCAACCCCTTGAAATGAAAAACCTGGCTCAAAAACACCAGAGGTTAGATGGTTATTATATGCACCAACAATGTAGCATGTGGAGATTATGGAAATCATTCAAGGCACTTGGCTGCTAAAATACAACGATTAAGCATAGTATAGATACGTCTCAAGGGGAGGCAAAACGATGGCAAAGCAAATATCAGATTGATCACCAGGTGTTTCATCAAATACACCATAGGAATCATTGTAATATTCAACACATCAAGAATATACATCAATCAATAATACAATTCTCTATTTCTCTTTATACATTAAATTTTCTACAATAGACATTTTTTTTGTAACTCGGTTCTAAATGCACAAGACCACGTGATTCACTAAACAGATAATGGTTATAAACACTGTAAAAGGAATATCCTTGTACATAATTTAACTTGGAGTTAGAAGGCATGCCATGAGATTTCCCTTTTGATGGGCCATCCTGTTGTACATATAATACTCTCAAAAGAACTTTTCTTTTTCTTTTCCTTTTTCCTTTTCTCCATGTATTTTACATAATTGTTTGTACACTCTTAAATTTCATTGGGTCAACGAAAAGTGACACTCAACAAGTCATGCCAATGTTAATTAATTTTTTAGCATTCATAAAGAATCGAACTCTGAAACCTTGAAGACTTAGAGCCTACGAATGGGAAGAATTGAATTACGGGTTCTTTTCCCTCCCCTGCAAAGTCTGAATTCAGTGGTCGCTTTCTAGAAGAAAATCAGGATCAACTGCTTTATCTGCCGGAGGAGGGGAAAGGCCATCATCACCTTGGAACAAAGGGAACAAATAAAAACCGTAGCTGTTCTAGCCTTCTTGGAATCCACAGCCTCAGGCACCATCACCAATCTATATGAACAGAGGATGTTATTCGCAAGATTGACCCAAGTAAAAAATTTTAAAAAAAATTGTACAAAATAATCCAAAGAATAATTTTTGACAATCAAAATCATTGGAACGTTATTCAATCATATAAATCAACAACCATTGTAGATATTACTTACAAAAGAAATGCAATCTGAGAAGACGCCTTGACCCCCCACCTCTTATAAGCAACAGGGAGCCTCATAGTCATCTCAGGATTGATTTATCCTAGCCCACCACAACTACTAGCCACTAGGGTGAATTTTATAGTAAGCACACATAAAATTTAGATAAATAAAACACAAATTTAAAATGCCTAAATTTGTCCACAATTATATGCACAACCAGATGCTTACACATGAAGTTGTAGGCATCATGGAATCATTTAACCTAGCCCACCAATAAGAGTGGAATTTCTACCAGGCACACCCAACTCTATTTGACAAATTTAGTGCAAATTCACAACATGTGAAATTATCCATATGGATATAGATTGAATATTGGAGTCTCTGTACTTTTTACCTTCGACAGATTTTGATTTCACGTACCTATGATTCTTTTGTTTAAACAAATGGACGTAAAGTAATAGATGCAATGTAAATCAAAATCAAAATCAAAAGCACCAGATGGGGCTCTAAATAGGTCCTTGACAACGACACTCAAGTTCCTCATGTGATTCAGCAGTTCAATGATCAAAGTAAAGATTTACACCACCTTGTTCAACACATGATGAACTCCCCTAAAGTTCTAGTGTTTTACATTATACCATCAAATACTTCAATTTTCAGTCATTTATTGGAGGGAAAAGATTGCAATGGTTAGATTCTCATAGATAATACCTAAAAAACAATAAATGAGTTAGTATTTAAAGTTTCAAAACTTAGCTACTAAAATTACAAGTTCCACAAGAAAAATGAGAAAGGACCAACATGGAGACAACTTCAAGAATGCCATTCTATAATCTCATCTTATAAGCAATCTGAGTCTTCACCATGAGGTTGTAAATAATAAATTTATCAACTTTATTATTATGCAAATAAAGTTGCACAGCATACAAAATTCAACAAATTTATCTACTTTTTTATCAGAATCAAAATGGCAGGTAAATGAATCGCATCACTAGCATTTACCTGTAAGATATTATGCAAGCCTTCCATTTCTTTAAAACAATATCTGAGGTGATGCTAACCAAGAGAAAGTAATGATTATAATGATTTGACATCAGCATTAGATTCCAGTGCCCACCACATGTTCTTGTCTTCCTTCTGCAAACAGTTATCATCTTCCCCGGAAGAGGAGCCTTCAATTTCTGAATCCCAGCTCTCCACATCAAACTCATCATCCAAACCATACAATTTTCTATCCCTTTCTGGGTCGTAAGTCCACTCCAATCTCTTCAAAACATCACGATCCTTCCACCGCCCCACAACTGATACAGCCTCCTTCTTCGCCTTTCCCATCATAATTTCCTGCCACGAGAATGCAGCATCCGCGGTTCTCTTAAGTGCCCCATCATTGCTATCACCCACAACAACCGTATTGAAACATCTCAATCTTGCCTCCTTCAAAACCTCCACAAAATCCGAATCATCCGACACAAGGACTACACACTCAACTTGCCTTCTGTCCATCATATCCACCATATGATTCCTCAATGCAATGTCTGCAGCTTGTGGCCTATCCGACACGGTCCTAACCCAAAAACCAGCCTGTTTCAACTCATCCACCAATCCATACCCAACTTTAGGAGTCAAAACATCCCTTGAAGCATTCTTATACTTCTCCATCTTCATTGAAAACTTTGCTACCAAATTCACCCTCCTCTTCCCCCTTGCCGACTCAATCTGATTCAACCTTTTCATCTGTTCACGCTCATGAATTTGCTTAAAATGATTGACAAGCTTGTCATTGGTATAAAAATTCCTCCCACAAACTCGACAAACATAGGGTTCAACCCGCTTAATAATACCCTTATTTTCCAATTGATTCAATGCCTTCCTATCTTTCCTTTTCTCCCTGACTTCTGGAGGAACATAACTAAATGCGTGGCGATTCGCATAAGCCCCCGTGTATCGAACTGCGCCGAACTCTGCCACTGCCCTTTTTAGCCGGATGGCAGCTTCATAAGGAGGAAATGATTTTGGTGGCTTGTTATCCAAATCCCAGAAAATTGCAACATTATTTTGGGGGATTTTTTGCCCCAAAGACACAGCTGGATTGGAAAGATTAAAATTTGGGTTTGGTTCAAAATGACAGTATCTATACAATGCGAAATATGGGGTTAGGGTTTGTAGTTTTCTAGATTGAATTGAGTGGAAAATTTTACAAATTTCAACAAAACCCACCATGCCCAGATGAAATTTTACGAAATCTTTCTCAATTTGATAAAAAAAAGGACCCCTGCCTCCTCTGTTCCCCTGCATTTTCTGTAGTCCCTGAAAAGCAGCAACAACAGTACATGAAGAAATGAAGTCCCTAATTAGTGTAAATCCACATATTCAATCCAAACTACAAGTTAAGAGGAAAACCAATCCACCAAAACATCACTAATGACAACCTCACTTAAAAGAAATTTACAAATCTATACTACTAACATTATAAGACAGCGCTCCCACTTGGTGGTGAAGCATGTTTTTGAAGCCCTGTCACATTTTGTTTTCCCAAAAAAGTCCAAAACAATATATTAATTCATTGTCTGATTTCTTTTTTTTTCTTTTCAAATCACTTAAGACGAATATGTAACTTGATTGATAGATGGAATTACATCACTAACCATCAAGTCTCTCCCTTTTTATCTCTCCACTTCCAGTCTCACAATATATTTAACTCATTATCTCTCTTCTCATACTCTCATACAGTAAGGTTATGTACGGTTAGGATTATTTTTTAATTATAATATATAAAAACCCAGAATTATAAAAACCAAAAATAGATAAAATCATGCTCACAGTGCAAGAGATTCTCCTAGTACAGCTAAAAGTCAAGGGGAACAAATAAATTTGAATTATAAAAGGACAAGGACCATCACTTAAAATGAATAGCAAAACCCTCTGAATTTTGTGTGTTACGAAATCAACTTCTTCTGTGCACAACTGCTACAATCCTACGCATAAATATTGAATTAATATTACCTCAACACTACCAAAGGGAAAAGGGGACAACTACAAAGGGAATAGGAGAAAGGAAGTGTAATTGCACTATATTCTCGTGTTTGGGAAAGCAAGGGGAGCCTGGCAGAGGAAGGGAAGGGAAGTATGGATTTTATTATGTTAATATAAATTAACAAGACATAAAATTACTTCTCTACAAAATGGGGCCAAACAAATAATCACCAACTCCTTCCTCTCTTCATTTCGTCCCAGTTAGGGAGTGGAGCAAAAAATATTTATCTGAAAGGGTTCCAGAACCGCTACGAATTCAGTCATTTAGGCATCCAAACAGGGGGCGCACAGAACTCGAACCTGTCAAAGTCCCTAACCCTATCACCTACCTCTTAGTCTTCAATACAACACTTACAAGTTACAACCTTAATTAAGGGCTGCCCAATTATTCTAACAATACCTATTATAAAAACACAGAAACCAACCACTTTGTAAATTGAATCAATTCCAACACTTTTCAATCCATAAAACCCATAATATTTGTTTCATCCTATTGAATCCTAAATTTCCAACCTTCCTTGACCTAAATCCAGCACAAAACCAATTATAGGGGGCATTGGGGGTGTTTGTTTGGGCTTTTTTGAGCCAACTTATGGTTTTTAGCTTTTGAAAAGCTATTTTGAATTGTTTAGTTAAACTTATTTCAAACAGTTTCTGATTCTAACAACTTATTTTAATTCAAAAAACCTGATTTTGAGAAACTACTCACCCCTTACTTCTGATTGTTAGCTTCTACTGTGGACATGTTAATTTACCGTTATACTCTTAGATTATTTTATTTTATATTTTTTTTAAAATAAAAAAAGACATAAATGGACTATAGAATATTATTATTATTTTTTATGAGAAATGTAGACAAGTAGTGAATAATAAAAAATAAAAATTAATTGAAAAAACTACTTCACAGCTTATTTAACAAACATTACTCAACAACTTAAATCTATAATCCAACAGTTATACCAAACAGATTAACAACTTATGATTAAAGTCATAGTCTATAATCTGTTAAGTTATAATCTATAATCTGTAATCTGTTTTAATAGCTACACCAAACGGAGCCATTATTACAAGCTTCTAATACTATACTAGATCAATAACACAATAGATGGTGTTCCCAATGTCCATTTCTTGTTCAGTTGTGTGTTACCTAAATAAGACCTAACCTCAAAACTTCGCTGCTATAGTTTTTTCCCCTTTGGAATAACTGGATAAGTATATATTAACACACTAACCATGAAAAATGAGAGAAACTATTGAAGCAACAATAAATAAACAAATAAATAAACCTAAATTCCTAAATTACAGATCGCACAACAAATCGAACAAAACCCTAAATTGAACACGAATATAATACGTTGTAAATTAGACAAGGGCATGATCAAACAATCAATATCTCATCAAACCATTCCAAAAATTAAGTTTGATATCATGAAATTTGAAGTGATCATCGAATCAAACTGATTTACTTACCTTGAGTGAAATATGAAGATAGAGATGGGTTGGAAAGACTAGAATTTGGGTTTGGTTCAAAATGACAATATCTATACAATGCGAAATATGGGGTTGGGGTTAGGGTTTGTAGATTTCTAGATTGAATTGAGTGGCAAATTTTGTGAATTTCAACAAAACCCACCATGCCTAGATGAAATTTGTTGATCACAAACAAGAAAGTACCGTATTTGCTGTGCTGCGATTGCAATTGATGTGGTATTCCTTTTGCTTGATACTCTTAATGAGTTGAGAACTTCGCTATCCTCTGTTTGTTTGTTTGTTTTTTTCTTTTTTTTTTTTTTTTTTTTTTGGGAAAATAAAAGAAAGGGGGGGGTGTGCTGTAAATTACACTGAAACCCCCTGTATCAACGAAACCCTAAACCATTGAAAACTAGTGAATTGGCCACGTGCAAGGCACACTAACTAATGCCCATTATTGGCGTTTATTGGTGTGCCCATTACAAGAAAAATTTGATTTACAAAAATAAGGAAAGATGGATGCATAGATATAAGTCTACTTGGAAAATGTAAATAGCCAAGTGTCATTGAAGAATGAGTACTTGGAAAATAATTCATACATATAAGCTAAAACTACTTGAAAAGAAGATTAAAACAAAACTTACAAAAAGTAATGCTTGTAAATAATCTATAAATAAAAGTTATGGATTTATTAAAACCAACAATAGAGGCCTTCACAAGAAGATGTGAAATATATATAAAAAACTTCATCCATTACATACAATATAATTAGAGTAGAAAACAATTCAAAAATAAAAGAATATAAATGTACTCTCCATATCCACATAACACAATTTATAAACAATGCTAAAGACAATGTAACCATGTACTATAGAAAATAACCAAACTCATTCAAATCCACCATTTTTTCATCTACAAACTTTCCATTCTTCAAGCTTTCTTATCTAACAAGTTTGGTCCCCACTTCTTTCCAAAGGAAACAATTGCAGAAAGTAAATTAAGTCCCTAGACAATATCAAGGGGTGAGACATAGGGATTGGAAATCTTCCATTACAACTATGTGATGGATATGATCTGAATCTCACACCCAGTACAATTTAACACTCAATAGGTTTAGTAATTTCAAAACTAATGATTAATTAGTAAACAGGAAATGAACACTGTTAGTTAAGCAGAAAACAAAATAACAAGGTCAATGAAAAACTTTGAATCAAAAGGTGTTAATAGGAAAGGACACCCATAAATTCCCAAGCCAAGAATTTAACAGTTCATTCTTACCCAATTTATGTACTAAGAACCATTCCCTTAATAACCTAGTGCTCAAACAAATTCAACAAAATGGTGACATGAATGTTGACAATCTTTGCAAATACATAGAATCTTCTGAGATACTCTGCAATTCTTTTAGCCACATTCACAAAATTTTGTACGGTTGCCATGTAATTGTGTGGCTCAACCAATTTACAAGAAAGAAAGACAAAAAAGAAAAGAAAAGAAAAAAAAGTGTTTTCAATTAAGATGCACCCAATCTTTGTCTATCATCATACCACCACAACATAGCTTGTTTCTGGTATTACCAATTCATAAAAATAATATTCAAATCAAAAAGTTTGATAGAAATATATTCAATCTCTTTTAATTCTCTACCAATGTCAATGTGATGTTTGAATTTCACATTTTGGACACAACTAAGCAGTAAAGGAGCTAAATGGTTTCTGAAAACTAACATTGATATAGACCTATTAGAAGCAGCAACATTTTTATTTTAATAATAATAATCATCATGTAATTACTAAAGCATATTCAAGAGTGGGAAGCAGACACTATCTCACCTCAAGTCAATTGTTACACTTCAAAATTCTAATACATAAACTTCCTAATAACTTGTCATGATTAAATAAAACTCTTAAAATCTAGCAATTGAAGAATTGATAATGAAGGCATCCAAGTTTAACAGAATCTAATTGCCAAGGTCAATAGGATGTGTTCAAGGAAATGAAATAAAACAATAAATAATGAAATTTCAATTAGAACCTACACAATTGTCGAAGAAATATATGCACAATTCTAATGACATTTAGACTGTTAAAATCCACCTACTCTCCACCTACTTCACCCACTTAAACCTACTCCACTAAACCTAACCCACTACACCACTACCACCTCACCTACTCCACTAAACCTAACCCACTACACCACTACCACCTCCACTTCACCTACTCCTTACCTACTACACACTCACCCTCTTCTATATATAGGAATCATGAATCATTGTAATAGATATAACATTACATCAATCAATAATAATACATACAATTTATTCTCTCTCTTTCTCTATACATTATTTCTTACATAGACTATCATGCGTTGCCATGACATTTCATCAAAATACTCTGCAAAATTCTTCACAAAAATTCAGCATCATCACCAAGTTTTCATATGCATATCCAAGATAAACTTTTTAAAGAAATTATTTACTGGTTATAGCTTTAAAAATTAGAGCCCTAATGAATCACTCTTTTGTAATCTAGGAAAAATATTGGCAGTGGCATGTGGTTCACAATGATATTAAAACAAATTGGAGGAAATCAAACACAGTTTGCAAACATGGACCAATGTGTCCTTAAAAAAATTTATTCTATCATATCTTAATACCTCATGCATAACTCTTGCATGCATAACAATACAGAAGAAATCAATATTAAGCCATAGAATACCTCTAAAAAAATAAATAAATCAATCGATTTTACAATGTAGTGAAGGAGAATTGAAATGCAAGTCTTGGATTTGTGATGGAAATTTTTTCAAACATAACAACTCAAACCTAGTGAACTAAGGATTCTCCACACAAGATAATGAAATGACCCTTCAACCATGAAATACGCAACAATATGGCAATGTTTCTTCACCAAATAGGGAGGGGGTAAACATAGAAACAACAAACAAGAGAGTAAAGGTCAATCTTGATACATATAAATATTATATGAAAAAAAAGGCAAAAAGAATAAACAAACCTTTTGAATTAAAGAAAAACAAAAATGGAACCATAGAAGACTTGAGAAGAGCAATCCTAGCAAATCGTGAAAGATAGAGGGAGAAAATATTTGAAGATTTGAAATTGACAAAGATTGTCATGTGGGAGGAGAAGTTTTCGCATTATTTTTTTAATAGTTTGGGCTCACATTTTTAAAACGCGAAAATATGTTGGGTTAACAGGTTAAAAAGAAAATATTTCTATTAATTATAATTTTTGATAGCTTTAGGGGAAAAAAAATGCTATGGCTGTTAAAAAATTAAAGCATTTTGGGGGAAAAATGATGTGAACACATGTTATTAAAAGCTGCTTCTATTGTAGTACAAATCAAATCAAATGCACTATTATTATTGAGATTTCAACCAAAGCCCAAAGGCAAAGAGTAAAGGGTCAACTATACCTTTCGTGATGAAAAGTTTGCCTCCATGCGATATTATACTCACCCACACCCACACTATTTCACCAAGGCCATACACATCATCTATCTTTAACAATGAATCTAAGAACATACAAACCAAATATAGTATCGAACACAGAATATACTAATCAACAACTTTTTTTAGGTATGGCCACACCTTGTAAAGTTATGTTAAAACATGTATTCTATGTTTGATTCGATATTTGATTTATGGGTTCCTACACTTACTGCTATTTCTAGAGTTACAAAAAAATAACTAACTTTGTGATCTGCGAAGGAAATAAAAACATTGAAAAGGTGTGCAAATATCATTACTTATAGGGGAATTTCTAGGAACTTGATCAAGTTTTCTATTACATTTACAACGTCAAAACATGAGTACAGCCAAAAGATTATAGAATAGTAGATTTGGGTATGAATATTGCGTATAATTTTATCTCTAGCAGTGTATTGATGAAACAATATCCAAAATAAAAATAAAAGAAAAAGAAAAGCAGTGAGAAAAAAAATGTTTAGTAATTACTCCCAAGCATAGGACAAAACAAAACAACACACCAACAAAAGGAATAACATGAGGGTTCTCCAACTAAACAGGAATTTCTCACATGGCAACCAAAGAGAAAATAATTCTTAATTGATTTTGAATGTCTTGACACAACCAAATGATAGCTGAAAAATCTGTGAAAAGTTGCAACTTAAATTTTTTTGCAAATTAATCCAAACAATAGCTAAAAAATCTGTCAAAAAGTTGCAACTTAAATTTTTGCAAATGAATCCAAATGATATGTACCAGACTCAAAATTGTAGTTTCAACACCTAACCTAAAGAATTCCTCTATGTCAATTTCTGGATCAAAATAGCATCATATGTTCTACATGCCTTGCCTGCACCATAACATCAATGAAAATACAGAAATATTATGAGTTAGTTATTCATGTCTTCAATTATGTAGTTGGGTTAGTCCGCAGATACAGAAAAACCTTACCAAGACATAGTTAAGCTTTTCATGGAGTATTTGTAGATTAAAGATATAATACAAAACCATTAATGTCATGAGTATAAAATATAGGCATAAAAAATTTTTGTGTGTAAAAATCAATTTGGGGATGGGAAGGTGGAAGTACTTATCAATTTAGGATTGGAAAAATCAAGGTTAAGCAATGTGCTAATGGTTTAAAAATAAATAAATTACAGAGATGGTGGGCTTGTACCTTGTATAGAAAGAATAAATAAATAAATAAATAAGTTAGGGAGTAACTTTTAAGGTATTTTTTTTTTATATTTTCCCAATGTAATCAAAGCATAATCTAAAATTTTGTGAAAAACATATTATATTCAAAACTCTCTACAGGGAGGAATGATTATCATTTTTCGCACAAATGACTCTCTCTTTCAGGTTTAGAGAACTAAAAAAGAGAAGGCAAATCTTGTGCATTTTTTTAACCTTTCTATGACTAATATTGCAATTGGAAGGTTTTATATTCTATTAATATCATAAAGCATTTAATGAGTAAAATACTTAGTTTTGACTCAAATGTGTTCCAAGTTTCTTCTAGTAACAAAACATAGTATTAATCAAAATTGAATATAAATCATATAAGTCTTAAAAAAATTGATAGATAACATAAATAAAAAAATAAAAAAAACAACCCTTCTAAGTTAAAAATATGCTACTCACCAAGAAAAGCAAAAACTAACGAAAGAAATATATCAAGCACGATAATAACACAAAAACTAAAATCATAGATATGCATTGAAGATTTATACATATCAATATACAACTCTAAACATTACCTTCACATCATGAGTATTTATTATAAATACCTACAAACTAATACAAATAAATTTAAAAGCATACAAAAAGGTCGAACTAGAGAAACAACAATTAACACAACAATAAAAATAAAAACAAAAACATTTGCTAATTTACTGCTTGGGAGAAAAAAATAAAAACCAAACATAAACAAAAGCAACAAACAAAAACGAAAAAAAAAAAACAAGAAAGAACAAAAAACGAAAAAAATCAAAAGAAAGAAGAAGAAAAAAAATCAAAAAATAAAAAATAAACGAAAAAACCAACAAAAATGAAGAAATTCAAACACCATTTTCCCTTCAAAAGTAGAACAAGAAAAAGAGAATTCAAAATCAGGAACAAAAACAAAAAAACATAAACACCATTACTTTACTCAATAAACAACAAGGCAGATTAAAGGACTACATTATCAATGGTTAGTGTTGAACAAAAAAGTTCTAGTTTAAGAGGCATTATTTTTAAAACGGTGAAGTTATCTAGACTTGCAAAAATGGGTTGGGGAAGCACTTGGGCCACATCATTTGATTAATCAAATCTCTATGAATGAGTTTCTAATGTATCTGCAAAGGGGCTAAGTACATAAATAAGATTCTTAGATATTTATATATCATATGTGGAACATTTTTTTTTTTCCAAAGCAAACAATAAACTTCGGCAGAAAATCAATTTCGTATAATTATTGTACAGTATATAAGAGGAACTTAGAGCATCTCCAACGGTGAACCAAATTTTTCACCAAATTTGAGTAAAAAAAAAGCCAATTTTCTCAATCTGATATGGCGTGCTCCAACCGTGCATCAAAAGGGAAGTGGTCGACCGGTTGGTTGACCAGCCGACCGGTAAGGCCAATTTTTTTTTTATAAATTTTTTTTGAACCGTTTGAACTAGTAATTTGAACCATTTGAACCAATTCGCAGGCCAATTTTTGCGTGAGCCGGTCGACCGGTTGGTCGACCGGTGGTCGACCACTTAGTGTAAAATTTTTACAAATTTCTGTTTTAATGGCCATGTACAGTAAATTGGTGAAAGGAGCAAACCGTCCTCAGTTTGGTGAAACCTTTGATGTTTTCTTAATTTGATACCAATTTGCTGAAACCATTGGAGCTTCAAAAAGTGACTTTTTCACCAAATTTCAAATTTGATGCAAGGTTTAATGAACCGTTGGAGATGGCCTTAAGAAACCCCAATTCTGTTCAGTGAGAGCCCAACAAACTTCTATAGAAAATACCAAAATTAATTTTCATGAGACTTTAGATTAAAAAAATGTAGAGGACAAAAAACAAAGAACAAAAGAGGAAGAAGGGGGAAAATGACAGTCAGTGTATTTTGACTGGAAAAAGGGGGGCAGATTAGGGCTACACAGTTTTAACAAAAAAATTCAATGAAATCAAAAATTTAACAACACAAAGAACAACTAAGGAAGAGAACGAGTAAGAACTCACAAATCCATCTTCGAAAGACCCTCTGTAGAAGAAAAATCAATTTCTTTGATTGAATCTGAAGAAATGGTTCGAAACTGTGGATTAGCTCCAAAACACACATCAAAATCAGAATGAAATCAAACATTTAACAACACAAAGAACAAATAAGGAAGAGAAAAAAATAACAAAATGGCGAAATTTACCGTATCAGAACTCAAAAATCCATCTTTGAAAGACCCTCTCCGTAGGAAAAAAAATTACCCAACTACACTTTCTCTTTCAACGAAAAAGAAGGAAAAAAATGACAAATTAAAACTAACATAGATACGCATCAGAGGAGAGATATTGTAGCACGGATATACTCAAAGCTACATTCAAGCTCGGCAAGATCAATCTGGTTCTTGCATATCGCTGTAGCGGAGCAAAGGAACCAAAAACACAAAAATGAGAGAGAGAAAAATAAATAAATAAATCCACCCTCACATTTTATTTTTTATTTGAGTTTTAAAATTTTAAATCGATTTCAAAATAAATATATTTGATAAACAATTTTGTTTTGTAGCTCGGAAGATTGAGGCTCAAAAGACCCGAGTTCTTTGTACACCCATCCCCATTTCTTTGTACAGGTCATCCCTGTTACAAAACTTACGCATCTCATTTCAAATAAAAAAAATTAAACAAAATAGAGAGAGTGAGAGAAAGGAGACCCATTGGCGCTGACGAGACTGTGTGTGCGAAAAGGTGTCACCGATGAGGTTGTTCCTGCTTCTACTAGTACCGATGGGTGCTGCCGTTGTTGCTATGTGTGCGAAAGGGTGTCACCGACGAGGCTGCTGTTGTTTTTACTAGTACCGACGGGTGCTGTCGCTGCTGCTGTGTGTACCGAAAGGTGCCGTCGCTGCTCCTTGATTCATGCTGCTTACGATAATTTTCTATTACTTATGATTCATGCTTCTTATGATTCATGCTCCTTGACCCATTAGTCGGTTTTGTTTTTAATTTAGGGTTTCGCATTGGGTGATTAAGAATTGATAGCAGAAATGGATCACATTACAAAAATCTGTTATTTGAATATGTTCTTTGAAGAAGCTGTTCTTTGAACTCTACAAAAATCTGATGTGTGGAAATATTTGACAAATAAAAATAATTAAGAGGATAGTTGATCATACTCATATGATTTTTGCACACACTGTTGATGAAATATGTTGAATCTTCTGTTAATAAGGAACACTGTGTGTGCAAAAATCTGTTAGACCCTATGTTTTCAAATTTTCATAACTCATTGATTAATCCATGACAAATGACTGGATATTTATGTAGTGAACTTCATGTTAAATAATTTCAAAATTTTCATTTTAGATTAAACAATTATGTTACTTCTAAAATTTAATTTTCATTTGAGACCCGTTAAAATCACCCCTCCCTCCCTTCCCCCCCTAAAAAAAAAAAGTGTAAATCACAGAGACCTCACTTAATTAATTAATTTTACCTCAAAAAGGAGCCACAATTATTACTTTCATCTCCTTGATTCATGCTGCCTATGATAATTTTCTGTTGCTATATTACTAATTTTGCTTCTTTAAAGTTGTTTACCTTTTAATTGAAGAGAACCTGTCCCATGTATTTATGCTTAGAAACATTGAATTTTTTTTTTCCCAGTTTGAAATGGAAGCGTAAAAATAAACCTGTAAAGGGATGAAAATTTGAGTTTGTTTGTGTTGTTGTTGTTGTTGTTATTTTGAACAATTTGTGTTGTTCTTGCTTGCTTCCTTATAGTGTTGCTTGTTGTGTGATAAGAATGTTGGTGGAGGTAATCAGTGTTTTGTCTACTAACTCTCTTAATGTCTATTCTATTTCACTTTGAAGCTACAATGGATGTTGATTCAAACAATAATTCATTCAATGTGAGTGAGGAAGTTGAAGAACAAGATAACAATGTTGAATTTAATGAGAGTGGTGAAGTTAAAGAACCGAAGAGGGGGTGTATTCTATCTCAAAGCAAGAAGTGTATGCATTTTATGTAAAATATGCGAAGCGGTTTGGATTTGCTATAGCTTATAGAACACAAAATATAACAAGGGATGGGGAAGTAAAGTACTTTACAATTGAATGTACTCGGGGTGCGGAATAGAACAAAAAGATCAGAAGTACATCCCTTCGAACCATCTTCGTCATCAAAAATTGATTGTAAAGCAAGGGTAAGAACCAGTCTGCAAAAAGATGGAAGATATAATGTCACGACCCAAACCCGGTACCCGGTACTCGGAGGTTCGACACCGTGACTACATAAAAACTGAGGTCCTAACCAATTAATAGGCCAGCGGAGTAAAATGAAAGGGTACCCAAAACTTTATTTAATAGTAACAAAACATATACATTGGAGCTTCTATTTAATTATATTGTCAGAGCTTAGATCATGACTATAAAGTGTCTTGTGCCTGCCCACGCACTAGTCCTGACACGTCACCTGAAAGTGGTAAACAACTATAAGCACATAGCAGAGTGAGAAATATTATACTGAGAGCATGAGTGTATAAAAATCACAATGGATAATTATTGGCTAAACAAGATTTGATATTAAAATACATAATATATAATACGGAAATCATTTGACATATAACACATAAATTATATAAACAAAATAATCATAACTACGGTGCAGAACGGAACAGAACAGATGCATGGACTTAAGAGGTGGCTCGTACAGACTCTAAAGGTGACTCCTACAATAGTGTAGCACTTAGCTCCGCACAACACTTTGTTCTACACCAGAAATCAGAGTGTCAGTGGATTCATGATAGACAGAGGGTCACAAAGTGACCAATCATAGAGCCAATGGTTATTTAAGTCCCCCAAGACATGGGACCTCCGTAGTAGTACTTATAAAATAGTTGTTCAAAAATATATTTAATAAATAATTATTTCAATGCGTTTATCTTTATTATACAAAATAAGGTTCATAAATAATATAATTAATAAAACACAAATGGCGTAAAATAAACTATGATAACTTAAAACATGCGTAAAATATATTATGGTGACTCAATGTATAATATAACTCACCTTAATTTTAACCCTTACTAGTTTCTTTTTCCTGATCCCTCCGAATTCCCCCTTGCTTTTACTTTATTTTCTTCTTCTTTGTTTTTACTGCTTCTCTCATCCATTTTTCACTTTTCTCCTTTATATACTCGAGCCTTACACTCCTTAATGAGAATGATTCACGCCCCCTACACATAGTGACTCACGCCTTAATAATCATTATCGTGGATAATTCACTCCCCCTACCTAATAGGCATAACAAGTGGCTCTTCCCTTAGTGTGCCAACGAATGGTCCACCTTTCTCATGTTTCCTCTGTAGCCCCACTTTTATCATAATTCCGTAGTAGTGTTATGTTGGCCTCAAACCATATATTAATCACACTTTTATAACCCAATGCCAAATTCAATTGCATCATTAGCACGTATAATTATGTAATTAGATAAATCATTAATATATTTATTTATTTATATTATTATTATTATTATTAATGATCTCTAATTATAAATTAAATTACATTTTAGCACCTACACTTATAAAAATATTATTTTCCAAGTATTAATTTAACTATTTTATATTACTTTAGCTTAAAGTATTCAAAAATAGGGATGTTACATATAAGTTAACCATAGTTGTGCTTGAGCACACTTATGATTTGATTCCGACTGACTCGCGGCATTTTGCAATAAATAAGAGGATTCTTACTCTGGTGAAGAGAAGACTAGAAGTTAACGATGCAGCAAGGATTGCGATGGCTAGGAATTTTCATTCCATAGTTGTTGAAGTGAGGGGATATGAGGCATTAACGTTTGATGAACAAGAGGCAATGAATTATATTCAGAATGCTAGAAGATTGAGACTTGAGATAGGAGACGCCGAATTAGTTACACTCTATTTTCATAAAATGCAACAACAAAATTCGAACTTCTATTTGACAATTGATCTTGATAAAGATGGTCACATGCGAAAGTTGTTTTGGACAGATGCCAGGAGTAGGGCGGCTTATAAAGCATTTGGGGATATTGTCTCATTTGACACTACTTATTTGACAAACAAATATGATATGCCGTTTACTCCATTTGTAGGAGTTAATCACAGTGGACAGTCAGTTTTGTTTGGTTATGGGTTGTTAAGTAATGAGAACACTGAGACATTTGTCTGGCTATTCAAAGAATGGTTAAGTTGCACGTCAGATGCTCCCCAAAAGCGATAATAACTGACCAGTGCAGAGCTATGCAAAATGTCATAGAAATTTTCTTCCTATAAGCTCGACATTGTTGGTGTTTATGGCATATTATGAAGAAAATTTCGGAGAAATTGAGAGGATATTCGCAATATGAATCCATAAAGGTTGCTTTGGGTAATGCAATTTATGATTCATTCACAAAAATGAATTTGAGGAATACTAGGAAGCAATGATTATAAAATTCAATCTAAATGATAACGAGTGGTTGGGGGTATTATACCGTGAACGACATAGGTGGATTCCTTCATATGTTAAAGACATATTTTGGGGTGGCATGTCAACTACACAACGAAGTGAGAGCATGAATGCATTTTTTGATGGATATATGAACTCCAAGGTAACCTTAAAGCAATTTTTACTGTTTCAAATTACAAATTAACTTGTGTTACTATTTCGTCATAAGGTGCCGCAAATCAGCCTTACTATTTTCCTTCTATGGATGCCATAGAAGACAATATGTATGTACCAGTATATGTTGAACGGACTTAATATATTTCACTTTGTTTGTTACGGGTTGATATTTTAATGCTTCAAATTACTAATGTCATTTTGTTACCGGTACGTGCTGAATGTATTCTTGCGACAAATTAAATTTTATATTGGTGAATATGTTTGTGGATTTTTTTTTTTGTAATATTTACTTTATTTTTACAGGCACCGGTTAGCATAATGGGGGACGACATTAGACGCGCATCTCATACTCAAGCTGGAATGGTCAACAATATTAGTAGTCAAAATTCGATAGTACCATCAAAATTTGTTGACTTGAATATAGATGCGGATCCAAATGACCCTTTTTTTTTTAGTTTCGAAGTGCTAATTTTAGGTGAATTTCATTTGTAAACTTTGGATTGTTTCGCTTCATTTGAAAATTGGTGGCTGTTCCATTTTAGGTTCAATTGAATTACAGATTCATTTTAGGTTCAATTGAGTTATAAGTTCAATTGGTGGCTGTTCCAATTGGTGGAATTGGTGATTGTTTGGCTCCATTTTAGGTTCAATTGAATTACAGGTTCAATTGGTGGAATTGGTGATTGTTTGGCTTCATTTTAGGCTCAATTGAATTACAAGTTCATTTTAGGTTCAATCGAATTACAAGTTCAATTGGTGGCTGTTTCCAATTTGTGGAATTTGGTGGCTGTTCCATGTCCATTTATAAATTTATGAATGTATATGTCATGACCCAAACTCGCCCCTATAGGTTTAGTATCATGACCGGCTAGTAATCCTAAGATTACCGAAGGCCTCTTAAACAAATACATAATATTAGGGGCTAGCGGAAGCAAAATACAAACATACATCGTCCATTGAGCTATGCAGACTTGCATGAGATAGTCAATATTTAAACTTTTTCTTTTTTATATACATCTATTATCACATCAGTTATACGTCAACACATATATAAAGCAGACAAAAAGGACTTAGCCCTATATACAGAATAACCAAAAACTTAAACTTTAATCACATAGCCTCGGCATTTGACATATCCAGAACCTTCACGAGAGGCACATAAGTTGATTGACAAAACATAGTCCAGGCAGAAGCTCTAGGCTTGGTCACACGCCTAATCACCTACATGTATATATAACACAATGAGCTAAAGCCCAGTGAATAACAACACTGTAAAGAGGTTATGAATGATGTCCTTACTGCAATCCAAATCGGCTAATTTAAGTAATAAACAGAAAATCAGAATCATATGCTTAGCAGATCCATATTTCATACGGAAGGCATAGTAGTTATACGTGGTGTATCTAATAGCAAAATAATACAGGGGGTCATGAAGACCGAACAATCATATATGATGGCCATCAATACAGTAAACAGGAGTTTCAAGAAGTGGAATTGCCAAAGATCTCTGTAACAATGATAGTAAACAGGTGCTAAGGATGCCACGAATATAGTTCAAGAAAATAGGATCATCATTCATTAAGCAGAAGAACCATTTCAGAACAAAGAATAGTGTAACGCAGAAAATAAATACTTTTACTTAAACATATTTTTACAACAGTGCTACTCACAGATAGCTCCAAAGACAGAGTAGACGGACCATAGTGTGTGACCTACACAAACACATAACAAATACACATTGGCGGTGTTTGGGAAAGATTTTTTTGTGGTTTTTTTTGTTTTTTTTTTCACTAAAAGACAAAGTAGTTACAAAACCAAAAAAAACAAATCCAAATAAAATATCACATCAAGCCCCATAATTATTTCACTTTTTCTCTTACAAATATCACATTCAACCACAAAAAAACCCAACTATCTTCCCAAACACAAAAAAAAATTTCTCCAGTAATATCCTACAACTAAAAAAACCTACAAAAAAACTCATTTCCCAAACAGCCACATTGAAACAAAATATCACTTCCTTGATTACGCTTATTCTTTCTTTATTCAAATGAATAGGATTCTCATTTTACATATTCTTTCATTACCAAATCCTTCTTTTCCAGACAGACTGGTTTCTTACTTGGCTTCTTAATCAATTACTACTAAATCAATGATTTCAAACTTTTTCTAAACTCACTTCCCAAACAGCCACATTGAAACACAATATCACTTCCTTGATTACGCTTATTCTTTCTTTATTCAAATGAATAGGATTCTCATTTTACATATTCTTTCATTACCAAATCCTTCTTTTCCAGACAGACTGGTTTCTTACTTGGCTTCTTAATCAATTACTACTAAATCAATGATTTCAAACTTTTTCTTCTTTTGTTTTATAAAACCTAAAATTAAAGCTATATAGCTTTTAGGAGCATATTTGCATGTACGAAATTTAATTCACAATCAAACCAATTTTTGATTCTCAAATTTGAAATTTAGCCAAATTTAGCTTTAATTCATTTTCTTCATATCAAACCCAATTTTAAACCCACGAATTCTAACACATGAATTAAAATTTCAAAATATCATTCCAAAACTTAGGTTTAAACATGACTTGTCTAAAAATATACAAACTCTTAAATAATTAAGAAAACTTAATCATTTTTAAACCATTTACCTATAAAACTCTTCTTCAAAGTCAATTATATATTCCATTGTATGGATCAAGTCTTCAAACAATTTACGTTGGATGTAATTTATAGAGCTTAAGTCAAGACTAATTCTCAAAATTGAACCCAAACTTAACAAATTTAAAGAATCGTAACTCATATTCTTCAACCTAACTTAATTTAACATCCAAAACCCAAAAATCATTAATTGATAGAATTAATCTCCAAATTCCTTCATCCTTTCATTATTTATTTCCAATTACTTGAAATTGAAACCAATTATTTCTTAATTTTAGCTCTTAGCTAAATTATTTATAAAATCTAAGCTCAATGTCTTACTCAAAATCCAATTTCTTAAAAATCCATAAGATTAATTCCATAGCTTTCTTGCTTTCAAGTTCAATTCCTCAATTCATCCAAATTATATACAATTGAACCTAATTTCTTTCTAATTCCATAACTATAATCTCAAATCCTTCTCAATCTTAAGTATTATAAAAAGATTCTATAAAAGCAAACCAAACATAATTAATTTCTAAATTAATCCCCAAAACCATGATTCTAGCTCAATTTCCTTCATTTTCTCCTTAATTCCTTCCAATTGCAAAATATTGATTCTAAATTCATCTTTAATTTCAAGTGTAGTATAAAGATTTTACAAAAATCAAACATGATTTCATACCTTGAACTTTAATGTCAAGAAGTTTAGTTGATTCCCTTCAATTCCATGCATTTCCTAACTTTTCCTTCCATATTTCTTCTTCTTCTTGGACTCTTGAGTTAGATTTCCAACACAAATCTCTCTCTCTCTTTCTCTCTGTCTCTCTCGGTGCTCTCACTTTTTTTTCTTCTGTCTTTGAGCTCACAATGCTTCCAACATACACACATGAATCCTTATATTGGTATGTATATATATGTATGTCTATTTGTTGCCTCAAAGCTTCTAGAATACACCAACACTCAGACTTCACTACACACCCACACCCATATACACCCTCCAATTAGGTTCCTTCCTAATTTAATTTATGTTTAGGATTAATTTAATTAAGCAATATTTAGGCTTACTAAATCTTGATTAACACATAATTAAATTAATCATAACTAATCACAAATCCCACATAATTTAATTAGTTTATTTGACTTCCTTTAAAGTCTGATTAATTATATTTAAATTTATCAGTCTGAATCAGATTTTTAATCAAACTCTCAAAAGGCTCCAAATATCAAATTAAACTTATTTCCATATTCAATTTTAGTTTCTTACATCATTAAGGCCTTCCATTTCATATGAAACTCAAAATCTTCATCAATAAATTACATACTCAATTAAATACCTCATAAATAAGTTGTATTCATAATAATCTTAATTCTCAATTCTCATAACTTAATTAACTCCAATTCAGACCCACTTAATGAAATATCAATTTTACTAAACTATATCGAATATTTAATTAAACTCTCATAGGGTTCGATACTTGAAATTAAAATAATTCAAGTCACCAATTATACCTTCTTGCGCTATTTAGGGTTTCAATTTCTAATTCCAAAATAAATCCTCAATAGAATCATATACGAATTAGAATAATAAGCAATTAAAATTTAAATCTCCTTAATTAATTATGTGCTAATTATTATACGTGATGGGGTCATCATAGTACAAGAATTGGAATAAGATCAAATTAGGATTTTATTTTTTATTTTTTATTTTTTTTAAGTCATTAGGAAGCATTCAATTAGTTGGTTGTAATTCAAGAACAAAAATTTTCGTATTGCTCCAGAGCCTGCAAATATGCCTTCAAGTATGATTCTTAGCTGTATTCAGTCAGTTAATCAGTACAGAAATAACACATGCACACAAGAAATACTCATCTCATAGTTGAAAGCAAAAATTCAAGTTCGATAATTAACTCAATAAAAGTCAACAATCTTGAAACATAAGCTACTTAGTCACTAACCAAAAAAAGC